GCTACAGTGCACAAGCATCGTCTACTTATGAAGGCTTTCGATTTCACTCACCACTAATCGATTAATTTTTTGACTTTTTTAGCGTTTTGAGAGGTGTTTTTTCCTATATTTTTCTTCGATCAATTATAAAATAATTTTTAAAAATAACAACGAAAAATATACGCCACATTCCGTTGCCGTTGAAAAGAAATTTGAGCCAAAAAATAAATAATCGATGTAGTGCACAAAGTCAAAGTATTGCAGACGAAAACTGCGCAAAGCATTTCTGGCGCGAGTAGTAAACAAACTCGCGCGGGAATCAACGGCGGGACGGTCTCAGAGGAGTTCTCTATATACCGTGCTCAGAGGGGTATACAGGGATCAACAGGGATTTTGTTGTAGCTGGTTTCCTGTAGTTAAATCTTCGATCTGTCCTCTGTCAGAGGCACTCAACTTTGGTTGAGATGGACGCGGGCAATGGTGACCAAACCAATATAGATAAGAAACCAGTGTGCAAATATGGGGCCAATTGCTACAGAAAAAATAAGGATCACTTGGATAAGTACAAACATCCATCAAAGAGACTTCAACATGTGAGTGAGAGCTGTGGTTATGTCTCAGCCTGATGTTTAAGATCTGCTATAAATAGGTACCTGCTTACTCATACTGTTTCAAGAAAGTTGTGCTTATTCATCCCAGTCTTAATGACATCTGAATCCAGTGTTTTATTGCATGTTAGGTTACACATATTGATATGAAGTTAATGCTTTACATTGTCTCTTCAACAGGATGCCAGTTCTCCAGATCCAAAGAGAGTTTGCCATGGCGATTCTCCAAAGGAGACTGATCCGGGAGCTGGAGATGCATCGTCAATTACAGACCCTGCTCCTGCTCCTGCTCCTGCTGCCTCATCACACAACATGTCACCAGAGCCTGAGGCTGTGCCTGTCAGAGATACAGAAAATGCCAGGGGAGAGGAAGCTGATGAAAGCAGACCATTGGAGGAAGAGCAGAACCAGACTGCAGAGGAAGAGGATGAGTCGGCCATCCTACCAGATAGTCTCATCAGTGACAAGGACAACATAAAGCAAAAGTTCCTGGTTGACATGCCAAAGGACTTTTACAGTTTCCTAAAGTTCTGCAAGTCTCTGGACAAGGATGCACCTCAGGGTTTGTATGCCATTTGTCAACACAAAACATGTTTGCTTGGGTTGTGCTGGATGAAAATCAGAACATTTCATTTTAAAATGAAAATAGTTATTGTATGGCCATTAGCTGAAAGAAACTGGAGGGTGTTGAATATTGACAACAGGAAATACCACTTTTGAAGAGGAACATTATTGATCAATGAGTCTCAGGCTGGTTTTATGACATAGCCACATTTTCAGATGCTCTCTCAGCTTGTGGCCTGAAACTGGCAGGTCCTTTCCTGCTTCTCCTGGGGCGTATTAAGCCAAAGAAGCGAACTCAGGAGTTCTACCTCACCTACTGTAGATACTATTATGATCCACCTGAGGTTCAGGTAAGCTGATGCTGCCCATGTGAAACAGTGCAACTTATGATGGAAAATCGACATTTGTTATGAGTTCTGAGCAGCATTAGCTTCATTTCATAATTTAACCTGATTTCATAAGATGTCTTATTAAGTGTACTTTAGTATTCATAGCTTTCTTTATCACTTACCTTACAAACCACTAAAATTAGGCTTATCACTTATCAAACTCATTGTAAGGTCATCAACTCATCAGTTATATTTTTGCAACTATCTTTAAAACCTTTTCACGTTCCCTCCCCCCCTCCCATTCTCAGACTGTGCTGTGTGGGGATGACGCGAGCGGCTACCACATCGGCTACTTCCGGGACGAGCCGTCCGAGCTGCCCGTCCAGGTGGTGGCCAACAGCGCCGAGAAGAACGGTACCTTCTCCGTCCTCGGCGACAACCTGTTCGCCGCCGTGCAGTACGTAGCCAGCGCACCGGTGTGGTATCAGTCTGTGTGCGTGCTTTGTGTCAGGTAGAGGCGCGGCGGGTTGTCAGGCGACTCGGGCTACACCCCTGGGAGGTGATTCGGCCGGTGTTCCGGAGACGGTCCGGTACGAGTGCTCGCCAAGTGTACCACGGGGTGCACTTTCGCCAGACACACGGGTACGGTGTCTGGACCGGCCCGGTTCGGTTTCCGGAGGCTGTCCGGTCCGATGTCCGGAAGGTGGTCCGGTCCGGATTCGAGTCTCGGGTTCGGTCTCCGGATGGTGTTAGATTCAGTATCGGGAGTGGGAAGCGGAAACGGCGGGAGATTGTCTAATCGGTGTTGTAATTGGTTTGTTTGCGTGATATGAATATTTTATTTCCTTCAAAAGAGCGTCATCTAACACGAAATTTTCGCTAATTCGACGATGCACATTATGTTTCATGCTTGTGTTGTTGCGAGATATTCGACATATAATTGCATGCTAATCAACTTCCCGGTACGCACACGGTAACGCATGTATTTTATTTCCCCAGTAAGCTGGTATCGACTCAGCTGGGCTCGGCCGAAGGAGGGGAGAAGGTCGCGCTCTCGCACCTTCAGAAGGAGCTGAGGAGCTGGGCGGGCCGGTGTTCATTCACGCTGGACACGCGCACAGCGGCCATGAAGCAGCGCGACAAACTGGTACTGGGGAAGACCCTGCAGGGCCTGGGCGTGGTCGTGCCGTACGACAAGGAGCACGACGTCGGCTACCGGAACGTGCCCGAGACGCACGGTGAGAGACGGGAGGGGAAGGAGGGAGGAACACGTACGGCAAGGCGGGGGCAGGGGATGGAGAGGGAGGGATAACGAGGTGAGGGAGGCACAGCGGGGAGAGGTGGGGGAGGGACACACTTTGCGGCATGGAGAGGGGAGGGAAAGCGGAGCACGCACGGGAAGCCGGAACAGGAGAAGTGGAGGATATAGTCACTACTCACTTTGCTGGTCATCTGAACTGTTTCAGGTTACAACAGTCGTGTGTGGTTACTGTCTGGGTTTGTGATTGGACACTGTCTCCGCCCGTTCTGATTTCGTGGCTGGTTGCCGCCCCCGCCCCCGCCCTGCATGGTCAGTATTCATCCCCGCGCCTCGTCCTGAGTTCGTAGTTAAGTGACTGTCCCCACTCCCCAGTCCCCAAAATCCTGAGGTCGTGGTATGGTGACTGTCCCCGCCTGTGCTGAGATTGCTCTGCTTCCCGCAGAGACTCTGCGCAAGATGATGAAGCGGGTGGTGGAGGCGAAGACTGACGAGCAGAAGGACGCCGCCCTGGACAAGCTGCAGGAGGTGATACAGGACGTGCAGTTCGCCAACGACGAGGGAGACCCCGGCATGGGACTCGAATTCGGTAGGTGCTCTGAGGACCCATGTCCCATATATGCAGAGGTCTGCGCATGATCACGTAATTTTATCGAACGAAGCAAAAGTCGTTCAGTATGTCGTAACTCGTAACCGTTCCTTCTTCGATATCGGATTTCTTATGTTTTTGTGCTTCTGGTTCACCACGCCAATGCTGTGTTAGTCGGTAGCTCATTCTTTCACCCATTTCGCGCCCCCATAGGACGGCGACAGTGTGACTAGCCAACCGTAACCGTTTTCCTCGTTTTGCATCGTGCTGCGCGCCTTGCCCCACGCTGATCTTTCCTGCTGCTGAACCTGGCTGACATATTTCGAACACAGTGGAATTTCCCTTGCAAGTTGCACGATTTGGCAGTTTACGTTTACCCTCCCCTATTTGATAGAAGTTCTTTTGAGGTTGCGAATGCATAAGTGCCATATAATGTAAAGATGGTTAGGTAACAAAACTGGTAGCTGCTGTTCAGTATTCATGCGTAATTGTGTGACAGTCACGATGTCGTTTGCATATTCTTTAGAGAGCCGTACTTGCGTGCTCTCCCGCTAATCAAATAATTCATTCGTGTTTTCTATCGGTATTTAAATCACTGATGTTTGATATCGACATGGTGACAGATCGCTCACTATTCCCATCCCTCCTATCCCCCTCCCACAGGTTTGGACGTGTTCGGTTACGGCGGAGAAGCGCTTCACAACACTGTGCGGCACGTGCTGCTACTGGCCTACGACCTGCTGAACCGACCAGTCTCCGCCCAGATTCTCAGGGTAAGAAACTGATCCGTCTACGCCCAGACCTCAGGGTAAGAAACCGACCCGTCTCAGCCCAAATTGGTGTCTTTTTGACGCTGCAGTTGCCGAGAGATAAGAGATAATTGGTTCAATGCTTTCGGTAGAAGGCGGTCTGCTAACACCTAAACTGCACATCACACCACTGAAAACGAACATTTTTTTTTAAGCATGACGAGTCAATTCACATGGCCTATCAAAGTTTACACAGTGTCTACCTTCCAGGCACATCTTGCTAACCGGAGGAGGGGACCGCCGGAACTGTGAAGCCCGTGAGTCTCACCTGCCTTCTACCAGTGATCGTTTGCGTACCTGTGCCGAGTATTGAGTGGCCGCAACATTTGCCTGCGTGCGAACTACTTTGCCTCAATTGACGTGTGATTCTCGTGTTTCCGATTGTTTTACGATTTCCTGCCTGGAACTCAATACATGTCGAGTATTTATAATGGTGATTGTGGAAAATGGGCCAGTGGACGATTTATTTGAATACCAAGTACGCATCATTAGACCCTCAGTGATATAACTTTCTTGGGGGTTGTCACATACAAAGACGGTAGTTAATATTAACTGGAACTTCGAACTGTAATACTAGCATTTTCAATTATCATGGACTGTACACGATAATATCGTTAATTCACGTTCGGAAGGCAGCGCGCCCGGCACCAAACCATTCCTGCTCCCCGAAACATCCCAGCAATGGAGGCAGTGGACGGCTGTGCGCGAAAAGTTCGAACTGTGAACTGGCATAAGATTCGATATTTCATACCAAATTCATTAAAAAGTTATTTCTGGTAGCATCGTATACTAAGCACAGAACTAACATCCAATAAGCAATAACCATGCCGAAGTACCACATCCTATTCTTCAGTATTAAGCATGTAACGAATGTATAATTATATTGTACTAGAAAACGTACACTAAAACTCTGCATTTCGTTCACAACCACCGTTACGCAATACTTGTAAAAACAGAAGGCAGCAAGGTGAAACTACACGATTTGTAGAAATACTTGTAGAAATAACATAGATCCTCGATTCCTCAAGTATCACAGAGAAGAGTGACATTGTTCCTCAGTGCAACATTTGTTCGTTATGGCTGGCCAAGCATCACAGACACTTGCACTTGTTCGTACTATCAATGGAATGTAGTTCGTTCGAATCCCTCACCCACATTGTGCAGTCTCACGCTGCCGTGAGTATAAAAATCATCCTGTCTCGGGTAGAATATCGGCACCCTGAGTGATGCTGTAGATCAGATCGTCATCGGACTAGCATCCTACAGAGTGTCTCGGCTCAGATCAGTCAGGCAGGTCACGATGTGGCGTCCTGCCACTGCTCGGCTTCGGAGCGCCGACTCAGCACCAGTGATGGCAGGTTGGTGGGACGGCTCACGGGCAGGTGTTTCCAGGTCGGCCGCCAGGTGGCAGGGAGGTGCCAGTCGAACTCGGAGATGAACATCCGACACGCCACCTGTAACCAGCGGCGTTTGGATCAGAGCGCGTCAGTGGATCTTTCACTGAGCCTCTCTAGGCCTCAGAAGGCAGCCTACTGCACTGATTTACTGCAGGGTTAGCTGGGAAGCTATTCGGCAACAATATAAGCTATGCAGTTGATACATCTCTCGAACTGGTGCGCGAAGTCCGTCCGTTGCCAGCATTATAGTCACACTTGTAGGCAACGTAAGGCACATTTCGTGGATGATGGCTGTAACTCTCCATGCAGTGTATAGCGGAGAGGTCCCAAATTCGCCCATTGCTGTAACGATTAACTAATCATTCTAGGGCTGACGCGTTCGTGGTCTAAACCGTTCTCTGCGTAAGATAGGTGCTAACCTTTAGGATATGCTGGTACATCTTTTGGCCGATGCAAGCCCGTGGTCCGCCTCCGAAACAAAACAGCTTGTCCTGGTCGTTCTTGTTGCTGTTAACAGAGAACAAGATATAACGCAATATTTGCATATGTCAATATTTGCATACGCAACATTTGCATATGTAATAACGATGATAAAATTGGCAGCTATACGACACGTCAGTGATAGACAGTAATTGGCAGCTATACGACACGTCAGTGATAGACAGTTCTGTCAGCCGCTCGCCCTGGTCAGGGCAAAGGGTAGATTACCTCCTGTATTGTTTGTTTGTTACGAGCGAGCGAGCGCAGCGAGCGAAGTGAGTCTTTTCAATATAACGGAAAAATCTCAGTATGAGCGGCCCGGCCCGGCCCGGCCCAGCCAGTAACGCTTTTGAGAGGCTTATATCTCAGCAACCGCTGGACCGATTGGCCTGCGGTCTTTTTTGTTGGGTAGCCCCATCCCTTCTACCCCGTAATTGACTACTTTTGATACATCTCAGTGACCGTCGTGGCACGTGCCACGTGAAAAGTCAAGGGTGTTCAAGCTGTTTTGCAAAAGTAGTGATTTTGAGAGGCTCATATCTCAGCAACCGCTTGGGCGATTGACTTGCGGTAATTTTTGTAGGGTAGCAGCATCCCTTCTACCCAAAATAGGATGCTCTCGATGCATGTGGATCACCCCCAGTGCACGTGCAAAATACAACAATAAGAGGTGCCAAATTTGTTCCCATTTCAATAACTCGGTAATTACTGGGGCGATTTCGCTGAAACTTGGCATACAGGTAGGCACCCACCAGGCAATGCATTCCCATGTGTTGCGGTTAGGGTGCTACTGCACGTGCGCACGTGCAGGGGGCGTTTCCAGATCTCGAGAACGGCTGGGCCGATTGCGCTCAAATTTGGTACACGGTCGGGGACCAGTTAGTAGGGTGCCGTGCAAAAGTCATTTTGGACCCCGTTTGCACGTGCGCACGTGCAGAATGCCGCTTCCAGATCTCAGGAACGGCTGGGCCGATTGCGTTCAAATTTGGCACACCGCTAGCGACCAGTTAGAAGGGTGCTTTGCGCAAGCCCGTTGGAAGCACCCTCTCGCCCTTCCGCACGTGCAGGGCTCACTATCTCGCTCGCTCGTTCTTCGCCCAAAAGGCGTTTTACTGGTTTTATTTGTTTTAGAGCATTTCGCACCTCCTGTATCCACACGCGGGGTTCTGCTCCCACCCCCACCCCCCAGCCAAGTTCGGACCCGTCAGCAGCTCCTACGTATGTGAGCCGACGTTATTGATCGTCCCCATTCAGGATTCAGCATGCCGCACGTTTTCGTGCGGCATGACTTTTAGCAATGCGTAGGTATTATCAACTACCGTGTATAAGATGATAACCAAATAAATCCGTTCCACAGACATTACTTGTAACGTCTCAAATATCATTCCTTTGGGTATATTCTCTGGACTATCCTAGCATTTGGCTCCGTCCGTCGCGCTAACGTGACCGAACAAGCTATCGACCTCTGGCCTTCAAGTCTGAGCCCGACCCAGTCCTGCCGTCCGCGATCAGCAGCGTTTCCCTGACCAGCAGCGCCCCCTTCCCCCCCCCCCCCCCCCGCTCCCCCATGGCACCTACCTAGTCCTCCACCGCTCCGGGTCGAAGGTGTCGGCGTTGGGGAACACGGCCGGGTCGCGGTGGGCGGCCGCCGTTCCGTACACGACGGCCTGGCCGCGACTCACCAGGTACTCTGCGCCCCGCAGGCAGACAGTGCGACACGTTAGAGACAGGTGGAGGGCGGTAGACCAAGGTCGGAAAGTATAGAGAGAGAAAGGTACATCTGGTAGTTAAGAGAGCATTCGACGATCAAAGCGACATAAAAATGACAGTACACTGACCCAAATATCAGTCTTCCTGACATTACTGTCACTACCGGTCAAAAGTCTGTCGGTCACAGTCATGACGTGGTCGATATCAGCCCAGTAATGTTTCAGAGTTGCAAGAGTGGTGGGATACAGCCGGCGATCGGGTGACAGGTGACAGCGTAAAAAGGCAGCTGACAGTTGGACTGACAGTGGCAGTGCACCGGAACTGGGACAGGCGGGTGAGGCACACGGCTGTACGCGCGCAGTGACGGTCCGCAACACGTGCCGTGCCGGCTGGTACAGTAACTGTTCGCAGCGGTTACAGTGACCGTTCGCGTTGGTCCAGTGACCCAGTGACGATTCAGTGACGGCCTAGCCGCCCAGTGGTGTTTGTATCATAATTACGACGGGCAATAACCGCCATCAGCAGTGATTTACGATAGAGGAAACCTCACATCAGAGGTACAGAAACAGCTGAAGAAACGACGATCTGCGATGAGGTAAGACCGCGAAAGACAGTTAATGTAAGGGAGGACGATAAGTAGCATCGTGCATTCGTGTAACTACATGAATGCACAATGCGGTTGGCCTCGTGACTAGCATACAGAGAGTGGCTGCAGTAGTCAATGACCTACCTGGCTATTCCCGAAGGTCCCCTGACATCCCCGGGGTCACTGACTCCCCCCCTCCTCCCCCGGGTCACTGACCTCCCACCTGGGCGTCCCTGGTGACCAGCCTCCGACCGCCGAAGAAGGGCGGATAGAGCCGCTGTACCTCCAGCAGGACGCAGGTCAGGTCGTCATCGCTGATGTCACCGTCATCGGACACGTAGCGCTGAAACGGACGGCGGGGGGGGGGGCTAATCAAACGTCACCGAGCACTGACGTGTGATAAGGGACGCTGAAGGGCGCAGAGAGCTGTGACGTATGCTGTCAGCGACCGCTCCGTACCGCCACGTGTGATAGCAGCACACCCGATCACATCAAACGCCTCGTGGGTGACCGTGACGGGTTATCCAGATCGGACGATGACGATCACGGGACACACGCTTATTGCGGTAGCTCTTTTGATCAGCAGGCAGGGCCTCCATCGCCAAATCCATCTAAAATCTACATTTAACAAACAGTGCTCAACTCGCAAAATAGTATCAGCAGTCGGCGTGCCCTTAAGCCCCATAACTAATTACATAATGTCTGTCCTGTGCACATCCGTCCGTAACCCAACCAACTCAACGGAAACGTCAGATCGGGTCGGCTTTACTATCAGCCCCATTCTCTTAATCCCAACCGCCAATTACCTCCTTCCATTGGGGTGACGCCACTATAGCTGACGTGAGTAACGAGGCCAGCGCCTTGGGTATCATGGCCGACGCGCAAAGCAGCAGGTGGTTCCTGCGAGTCTCCGGGTCCTCCACAGCCAGCTTTAGGGACTCGATGAACGCTAAACAGAGAGTGGGGGGTCAGAGTGTTCAGTGTCACATTTAAAAGAGAAAAATTCACTCGAAACGGGTGATCACTTAGTGTTGACACTGAGCGGAAGATAATGCCTACGTTCCATGTTTTTGTACATACAGCTGGACAACGGATAACGGCATCATTATTGCTTCATTAGGAAGACGGTCGGCTGAGTTTTTTCACAGAAATGCCACAGACGGATAATCGATGAAACCCGACTGCGGTGGGCGTGGAGGAGACGTTTGTGGCCGGCTGCGGGTTGGGAGGTCGTCCACAAGGGTAGAAGTGGACTAATTGGGATTAGGTGTATAAGTATTTACCTTAAGTAAAGGTCATTAGGTACCCTTTCGAGTAATCAGACCCTTTACTCAAGAGATGCCTCCTCTTCTTCTGACGAAGATGAGTAGGCTGCCATGCTAGGTGAGGCCATACATTGATGGCCACGATGATCATTAGTATGAGAACTTGTAGTTGAACTTTTCAGGGTGGTCCTTCCATTCCTTCCCCAGTCTGTACTTGAACACATCGACATTTGGAGCATCGATGGTGTGGGTTGACAGCTTGTTCCATGTCTGAGTTACTCGTGCCGCAAAGAAGGCTTTTCTGGGTCCCAATTGATGCTGAACTTGAAGTTTTTGATCGTGACCTCGGGTGACACGGCTGAGAGAGTTCTTGAACATGCTGTTGTGACAACACGGGCACTCTCTTTGGAAGTCCACCTTGTCGAAGCCTTTCAAAATTTTGAAGGTCTCGATGATGTCCGACCGTTTCCGTCGGAATTCCAGAGTAGGTAAATTAAGACTCCTGAGGCGATCTGAATATGAAAGGTGAGACAGTCCGTTCACCAGCCTTGTTGCCCGCCGCTGCACCTGTTCGAGTGCATCTTTGTCCTTTTTTAACTTGGGACTCCATATAACAGTTGCATACTCGAGGTGGGGCCTGACAATGCTTTTGTACAAGGCTTTGAAAATGTCGCTGTCAATGTTTGCAAAGGTATGCTTGATTGCACCAAGAATTCTATTGGCCTTGTTAATCTGGTTAGTGACATGTTTTGAGAAGGATAGCTTCATGTCTATAGTGACTCCCAGGTCCTTTTCCTCACAGACTGCTTCAAGGGTATGTTTGCCTCCACCCATAGTTGTCATGGTATACTCACTTCCAGGATTTGTTGGTCCGAGATGCATGACCTTGCACTTGAGTGGATGAAAGATCATCTGCATTGTTTTTGCCCAATCTTGCAAAGAGTTGATGTCCTCTTGCAGATTGTGAAGTTCACCATCACGCTCGTTGATGACTTGGTAGACCTTGGTATCGTCCGCAAACATAGAGATATGACAATTTAAGAGGTCGGGAACATCACAGACAAACATGGAAAACAAGAGAGGCCCGAGCACTGAGCCTTGCGGCACTCCACTTGTTACAAACTCCCAGTCTGAGAGTGATCCATTGACGTTCACTCTTTGCCGCCTGCCTGTTAGAAAACTCCTTATCCACTGATGAGTCTTTGCATTCACCCCTAGAGCCTGGACCTGGGCTAGAAGCCGTTCATGGGGCACAGTGTCGAACGCTTTGGCATAGTCCAGAAACACAACATCCACTGTATAAGTGCGCTGGGTGAGAACGTTGGGAAGATGAAGATACCGTAGACGATTCGAGGCGAACCCCGACGATTACATGACAGTTCGGAGACGATAGAACGATAGATATACGATTTCGGGGCAGTGCGATTCTCAACACACGATAACATTCAGAACCTCGACTGGTAGATGCGCATGGCAAAAGCCGACTGGTTCTCCGAAACAAGTCTTTAAAAAAATGGTGACAATACCTGATAATGACAATCATGAAAAGCGAAATCAGAAACAGGCTCCACAGAACCACAAACAGTTTGAACGGATGGCGACTATTATTTGTCAATATAATCACTACCGAATGATGAAAATATGATTCACATTCGGGTCACATGCTCGTTACGGTTAACATAAAGCAAAAAAATACGCCAGAGTCACACGGTCCGAGAAACAAAGCACGCGATCCTCACCGGACTGTGCGTCATCTCGGAGCATCTGGTCGGCCAGTGTGAGCAACTGCTCCTTGGCGTCCATGGCCTGTTTGTAGGAGGAGGAGGTGGCGAACGGCACGCTGACCGACACGGGCAGCGCGTACAGTCCGTGCCAGTGGGTGGTGGCGATGTCTGTCACGGCAGCCACGTCAGCTCCGCGCTCCCGTCGCTCCAGGCCGAGAAACACGGCCAGGTTCAGCTCCATCGAGAGCTGCTTGAAGGCGGCGTACAGGTCGACCGGCCGGTCAGAGTCCAGCTGCTCCAGCCAGTGGCGGGTGACCCACTCCGTGATCGCCTGAAGAACGAATAGGTGAATGAATGAATGAAAAACAAATAAATCGGTGATCGTCTGAATAATGAGTGAATGAATAAATGAATCGGTGATCGTCAGAAGTATGAACGAAATAATGAATAAATGAATGAATGAATGAATAATTGAACGAAAGAATGAATGACTGAATCGGTGATCTCTAATGGGCTGCATAGACGTGTCGTGCTCAGGGAAGGATGTGGTGCAACTAATTGAGATGATGTGCAATTTTATGACAACGTTGAAGTCACGCTTCATTCATTACTCCGTTCGTTAGTTCGTTCATTCGTTCGTTCGTTGGTTCGGTCCCTAATTTGTTCGCTCGCTCGTTCGTTCGTTGGTTTCCTCGTTCATTCATTCATTCATTCATTCATTTATTCATTCATTTATTCAATCATTCATTCAATCATTCATTCCAATCATTCACTCATCCATTCATTCATTCATACATTCATTCACTTATTCATTATTTCATTCGTACAGCCAGTCAGCCAGCAAGTCAGTCAATCAGTCAGTCACTCGGTCATTCATTCAATCAATCATTCATTCATTCATTTATCCATTCATTCATTCATTCATTCATTCATTCATTCATTCATTCATTCATTCATTCATTCATTCATTCATTCATTCATTCATTCATTCATTATGCGGTGCGTTCATTCCGTTACCTGGTAGTTGGTGGCCGTTTCTGAGCTGAACAGGCCGTGTAGGCTGGCCCGAATGGAGTCAGCTCGATCCCCTTCCATGAACACCAGGTTTTCACCCAGAAGAGGCATAAACATGTCGCGGAGACCGCAATGGAACGTCTCCCGATCTGAAAAAAGGCAATGTATTACACATGCACACAGTCCAGTCACGGATGAGAACCAGCGTGTCTTTTAATACGCACGATGCTACGCAGCGAAATAATTCGGGAGAAATGACATTATTTGACAGGATATCACGGAAGATGTAGATGTAGAATGCATGAAAATACAGTAGGGCCCTGGGCCAGGCATGTAATGAGCAAGTTACAAAATAGGCAAATCCCAAACAGACCCACCATTACACCTCATGACCTTGCTAACCCCGTCCCTATCAGCACACCTCAACCTGGCCAGTTTACAGACCCCGCAGCAGGTGTCGGACGGCCCGGTTGTCGGCCAGCACCACGGTGGGCCGCAGCAGCAGCCGGGTGAGGAAGGCGCGCGCGCCGTGCTGCTCCACGCCGGCGCTGACAAAGCGCACCGGGTCGCGCCACAGTTCCACGGAGCGGTCCGAGAGCAGGGTACGTCCGGCACTGCCCGGCGGACGAACCGGCCGGAGTCCACCGCCGGAGTCTGGGGACGCGGGGCCGGGGGCGGTCACAGCCGTCAGAGGGAGGGGGGGGGGGTGAGCTTATTACAAACTGGCACTGTTAATTGTTCAAGTACAGCTGAACGTGTAAAGAAATGTAATACAATAGCATTGAACACAACCTTCCGATCAGTCTTAGACAAGGCCTCTGGACGTCAACTTCCTCTGAAAAAAACACGATCGCTCTTCACACAGTTCCAAGGGCTGGATGAATTTACCTAACTGAACGTAGTTTGAATTTCTGAGAATCTAATCACTGGCATATAAAGCCAGCTTGCATGAATGCATGAGAAAGCTGGTAACGTCCGATAACCAGCACTCATCCTTTCTGATGTTGTGCGGTAGAAACTGAACAAGCTACGCCAGGATAATTGATGTTCAGCAGTTAGTGCTATTGTGAGAAAGACAGGCGGCAGGTCGAAAATCGAAACGTCAAAAGTACGCAAAGCGCCACAGATCCCTAGTCTGATTGTCTTTGGTTCGATTATCACTTGTTCGGTGGTCACCAGATTGGTTGTCACGGGTTTTCTTGTCATTGGTACGGCTGTCGATCGGTTGTCACGGGTTCGCTTTTCACTGGTTTGGTTGTCTTTGTTTCAGTTGACACTGATCCAGTCAGCATTGGTTCAAGTCTCACTAATAGTCGTCTTTGTTCGGTTGCGTCTATCTCAATTGTCACCGGTCCAGTTGTCATTGGTTCTTCAGTTGTCCCTGGTCCAGTAGTCACTGTTTCGATTGTCACTGGTTCAATTGTCCCTAATGCAGAACTGCCAATGATTTCATCGTCACTGGTCGACAGTCGTGGAACTACCTATAAGCCTGTTGAGGGCTGCACCGCACGGCGTAGCTATTACCCGGCGAGTTTCACATTCCCGTCAATAGATGGCACCAGCGACAAGCGCCGGAAGATAGACTGTGCCGCAGAGCAGCGGATGAGCGCATCGCCGCGCTGTAGTGCATGTCTGTCGGGCGATTGGGAGGCTACATGGAAATTCTAGCACAACACTGCAACAATTTAACGACCTTTAGATAATCACTGACCGTTAATTGATACTTGGCCCAGGATGTCAGTAGGAGGGATGCATGCACACTGCACACGCCCCCTTTTTCACGCGTTACGATCGAACACAAATTAACAAATTAACGCGGACTGAATTGTTAGGTAGGTACCCACAAAACCAAAAGCATGCCTATCTCAAAGAGTAGGCACAAACTCCCACATAAGTTGTATGCATGCATCTGCTTGCTCGCGAAGCACGACGAACCATAAATTATGGCATGCATCAGTAGCGGTGGAACACTTTCACTTAAGGGGGGGGGGGGGGGCACTGCCTACAGGGTGTCCAGAAAAAAAAGATACTACGGAAATTAAGTCGCATTCATTAACGCACGTGCCGATTTTGTTCCAACTTCGTGTGCTCATAGTGCAAGATTTGGCAAAACTCATGAGCACTGTAATACCCCAGTAAACATGCCGACGTCGGCCCGACGTCGGCCGACGTCGGGGTGACGTCGGCAACTCGGCACCGGCATGCCGACGTCGGCCCGACGTCGGTCCAACCTCGGCACGACGTCGGCTGGATGTCGGATATGCCCGCATGTTCCGACGTCCAGCCGAGATCCAGCCGACGTCGGGCCGACGTCGGACCGAGATCAATTGCTGAGGTCCAGCCGACGTCGGGCCGACGTCGGACCGACATCGGCCGCTGTTTTGACCGTTAAAATAATATAAAGTACATGTTTCATGTTTCATAAAGAGCCTCTGTATTCAAAATATCCTCAGGAAACTCAAATCTTCCTCCATGCCGCAACCTCCTGATCCGGACTGGACGGGAAACTTTATCCCATTTGGGATTGCCCGTAAGCCGATCTCGCCCGTAGCCGGGTGCGGTGAGTGCTTGGGGGCTGCTCGGCCTATCCTTTGGTCAGGCTCAGCCCCGGCAACTCACCAGGGCCGGGCCCAGTTCATATAGAAAGGCCAGTCGGCAAGTGTCACTTTCCCAAAGTGCCACTTATCAAAGGGACACTTTGGGAAACGTTGGTGCAGGTGTGTAATAAGAGTGGCTATATGAATCCATTGTGGGGTCGCCCTTTCCAATAAGTGTCACGTAACAGCAATGGGACCAGGGACTCTACATATATGAACTGGACCCAGGGTGCTCGCCAAGAAGACCAATGTCTCCATCCTATGATCCTTCCGGCTCTGAAATGGTCTTGTCAGACCGAAAGGGCATAACACAACAAAACAAACCAATTTGGTTAGCTGGATGCGTAGTGTAGTGGTTAGCGCACTAACCTCGCGTTTGAATAGCACGGGGTTCAAATCCCATCGCCGGCTGATGCTTTTGGCGTGTTGCCTCCCAGTAAACATGCCGACGTCGGCGACTGGGGGGCTCGAATCCCGCCGCCGGTTGACATTTTTGGCGCGTTGTCCCAATAAACATGCCGACGTCGGCCCCGTCGGTCCAACGACAAACGATCTCGTCAACCTTGGCAAACGATCTCGGCCCGACGTCGGCTCGACGTCGGCTGGACTTCGGCTGGACGTCGGAACATGCGGGCATATCCGATGTCCAGCCGATGTCGGGCCGAGGTTGAACCGACGTTGGGCCGACGTCGGGCCGAGCCTCGGCCCGACGTCGGGCCGACGTCGTCATGTTTACTGGGACGTCGTTGGGAAGTTGTCTATCTGCCCTCCGAGATGGTCAACATGACCATCAGTCACCTGCAGACTGTGCTAGTGCTGGAGCTGATCCGCCGGAAGGCCGCTCACATTGAGTATCTACTTTGAGGAGCTGCCGCGACTAACCAAAGATGTGCCATGTGGCGCCTGCCGTCTGTTTTGCCATATTTTTGCGAATACAAGCATGTGCCATTTTAAAATGTAAGGTGTTTATTTTCGGAATTACAGCAAAAAATAATAGTATCCGTTTTTCTGGACACCCTGTACTTTTGGTCCCATTCTTTCCATGCAACGCCCATAGGGCTAATGTTAAAATGTCGAAATCAAGGGGGGCTGCGGTGCCCCGGTGCCCCCCCCCCTCCCCGTTCCCGCCTATGGCATGCATTGTCGAACTCCCGATAACAATCCCTTCACTTCTCTTCTTAACAATCCCTTCACTTCTCGCTGAGCAGCCTTGTACGAAAGCTAGGCAGACTACAATGTATCTCAATGTCGCCTTATTTCCAATTTCATATGACAATGACATCATACCATAAAACGTGGACCTAGACCGTGTTCCTTTCTTCAATGAGACGTAGGTGGCCTTGGGTATGTAGGTTTAATTTTGATGAAAGGGCACGTTGCAAAGCGAATCTCACTACGGTCACAAAGCATATCATCGGGAGGTTGATGACAACTTTGCGACCAGTTTTCGTACAATGTTTGGAGCTTTACATTCCACGACATCGTAATCCAGGATTGTAGGTCTACTACACTCTTCACTGTTAAGTGTACAGTGATCCCGCGAAAAAGTATCCAAATTTCGATGTCTATCAAGCTTGGATATAGAAAAGTGCACCAAACTGCTCCTGGCTCCAAAATAAGAAAGCCGATTTGACTCGGGGGGGGGGGGACGCCCGGACTACAGTGGTCATCGGCGGTCGATTTGACTCATCCTCATCGCATCCTGCCCGCACCATGATAATGACCTTATTTTAATAGAATGAGCATTTACAACACTATGCGGGGCAGAAATGGCCGCTGCCCATCATACACCCAAACTAGCAAACCAACCATGCTAATGCACATAACTAGCAACCTACCTAATTTTCTGAACGGTGAGGCTGAACGGCTTCTGGCCCCCATCAGCGAAGGTTTTCAGCTGGCGGCCCTCGGAGCGCGGCCTCAGAGCTCAGACGGCCGAGTGCTGCCGCACGGCTTCCCTCAGACCGCCGCTGCTGCTGCCTCTCCGCTTGGCAGTCGTCAGTCTCCAAGGGCGGGGGGAGCTGGTGGGGCTCACACAGAGTTTTACGGGGGACCAATGTTTCAGAAGCGATTCGAGAAGCACGCAAAAAAAAACACTAAAGAGATGAAGTGGTCAGGATCAAGCATGTTTCTGACCTTGATTACGAATTTTGCTCTAGAAAATGTTCGATCAGTAACTAAAAATGGCAGAGTTATATGCTACCAAACATGGGTGATCGAAGAAGTTACATATTCAAGTGCGACTTCCGGTGCATTGTACATCTACATAGATATCGCACGGTACAATTGTTTATTGATGGGCAAAAATTTAAAATTTTGAGCTTTTGGCCTGCCCGTGGCCTGGCCTTCAGTATAATTTGCTGATAAGGGTGGTGATAATAAGGTGATATTAGCATCGAAGGGTGCATACAATGATTGAAGAGTATGTTGAAGATGTATGTTGCTGAATCTGCCCAAAAGCATGTCTTACACGACCTGTATAACTTGGTATTATAAACACATTTTTGGCTTGGCTTTAGTCTCCAACATACCTTATAAGTTATAAGTTATACGCGACAGTTTCGGTGCGTGCAATGTGCATGCCACGTAGGTGTCAATATCCCCGATCTAGCAAGCTTAGCAGTTAGCAGACAGGCTTAGCTTAGCAGGGCCTAGTGTGAAAATACCGTGAACTAAACGTTTAATCTGATCTGTGACGCCATCGGTGATCTCGAATCCAGCGCCAGTGTGCTCCATTATGCACAGCTTTCGGGCTAATAAATGCTAGTTGAATTTTAAACATAGGACGGTGCGGCCCCACTATCAGTCGCGTTATGGATGGTAAGTACTAGTGGTGTCAATCGGAACTTGAATCTTCGGAATTCCGATTTTGTCCAATGTCCAATTCGGAATTCGGTTGGACAATGGCCGCAGGCTTTGGACAACTTTGGAAAATCGCTTGCTACACCTCAACATTTTTAAAAAGTAGTCGTGTTTAACATTGATTGGCTATTAGAAAGCTCAGCTTTCGATATGATTAACACTTTTGAGCTTGTAGCGGTACATGAAAAGCAAATGAAATAACAGTGTTGAGTGTAAATTATTGCGTAGGTGTCGGACATCTTTGGACAAATGGCTGGCTTGGACATTTTTGGACGGACAATCGACGTAAGCATTGGACATTGGACGGACTTTGGACATACGTTTTCTGAAATTGACACCACTAGTAAGTACCTCATCCAGTCAGGAGCGAGTCAACATGCCTTGAAATTTATCGCAGCATTTTCTAATTTGCAGCACACCGCTCCCAGTCACACTAACGCTCACCAGACAATTGCCAAGTTCCGTCAATTGTCTGTCGACTAAGTTCCGCCATCATAAACCACACGTGATACTCCCAAACAACGTATCAAAACATTTAACGCAGCTAGTGCGCTGCTTTATTGGCATACAAGTGAAAATCGGTGCAAAACAAAGGGACAAAACTGCTAACACCTATCACAACGCATGAGCGCGGCCACCCGAGGAACAGTGAGATTGCAACGCAGCGACAAGACTATGAGAACGGAGGTTTTCCAAAGAATCCAGCGGAAAGCAAATGTCACATGTACTGTAACATGGCACCTCCATCATATGCGCCCATAAGATGACAAAAAGATCAATCAATTCTACGAATATGCAAACGACAGCCGAAGCAGGGACAGGCATCATTTTAATTTATTCCGTTTTCCCTCCGCATCCCCATTAGCCAAGGCAAAATGTTCCACAGTAATCCCCAACGGCTACATTTTTAACAGTTTCTGATGTACCGTGTTCATATAAAGTTTATATGCGTTATCGACAATATCGCAAGGCAAGGCAAAATACCGCAAAACAGCGCCAGCACACACAGTACAATGTGGAATAGTACGGTATCCAGAAAAGAATGTAAAAAAGAGAAGTGTTTTCGTGACAGCAGACACTCGAAGCGCAGCCCCCATAACTAACATATGGCGCGGTGAACCCCTCGACAATAACCAGCTGCCAGATCAAGGACAACCTCCAGAATGGACTAGAACCTAACGATATCGCCCGCCGAACACTCACTTGGGCATAGTTCTAACAGACCGCGTCGATGGTGATATTCACGAAAGCAATGCAAACATCGAAGCAGGTGCGCGTCCGATTCACAAGCACTTCAAACACAGGCAATTTGCATATCATCAGTTCATCGCGTTTGACCGGTAATTTTCGCGTTAAGCAGCGCGAATAAGAGCACGACATCTCTAAGGAGCGTAGGGCCGGGTGGGCGGCAGCCGGCCCAGCTTGATGGCGTCCCACACCCAGTCGGCAGTGACGACGGCGGCGGCGCTGCGCTGCACGCGGCCCGGCACGCGCTCGCCCGGCGCCGCCACATAGTGCGTGGCCAGCTGCAGCTGCTCTGGCTGTAGCAGCTCGCCGTCGTACGCGACGATATAGCGCCGCAGACGGTCGTCCGCCTCCAGCGAGGGCGACAGCACGGCCAGTACGGGGCGCAGCGTGGCCGGCGGCAGGCCCACTACGCTGCCGCTCTCAGTTTTCGCAGGCGCTGAGCCGCCGTCCGAAGAATCGTTCAATTTGCGTCGCTTGGACGGCGTTGTTTCACTGTTCGGTGTCGAGCGTTTGGTCAGAGTCGGCCGATCTGCAGCCGCCGATGGCTTGGTGGGTGAGCTTTCGTTGCTGCTGGTTGTCTGTCGTGAGGGTGACGACTGTGCCGATGACTGTTTGCTTGGCGAGGAGAGAGCAGATGACAGGGCCGAAGATGACTGCCCGTCGTCAAACACCTGCTTGGAGTTTTCGTACAAGACGAGAAGCTCCTTCAGCGAGGTGGCTGTCTCCCAGTTCTTGTCGTCACGGATCTTGGTGACGCGAGGGAACCGGATAGATATCCCATGTGCCGTGTGCACATTGTTCTTTGTGAACTCGGCGCCAGTCACTTCCCAGACGGGCGAGCTTTGTGGGTCCTGCACAACAAAGTCGGGGATCATCGTCTTGCTGCATTCCAGCCACTTTGGCACCTTGCTGGGGTCCTTGCTGATTTTGGTCACCTTGAGCTCCGTCTGTAGTCGGTCGAGTGTCGCGTCGTCGTGGCCTCCGTGCACCTTTGTGACAGTTCGCCACCGTCGGCCGTCGAAGCAGCCCATCAGAAAGACAGACATCATGCCGCCCTTGTTGCCGGTACCGAACCAGGCACCAAGCACCACTAGGTCAGCCGAGTCGGCCGCCTGTCCATCGCCCAGGTAGTCTTTCTTGACTTTCAGCCAATGGCGCTTTCCAGGTTCGTAGATGCTACCGAAGTCCTTCAGGACAAGGCCTTCTAGACCCTGCCGTATGACCGATGCAATCATATCCGACAGGTCTGGTGCTTTTGTGATGTGCTTCAGTTCCGAGAACATGACCCTATTCGGTACCTCTGTCATGTACTTCTCAAGGATTTTTCGACGCTCCAAGATCGTTTTCTTCATCAAATTCTCGCCGTTGAGGTGGAGACAATCGAACACAAACAAGCAGACGTTAGCATCTTTGAAGGCAGATTTCTTGTGCACACCAAGCGTGCCGAAGGGCAGTGGCTTTCCGGTGTTTGTGTCTATCAGTAATACCTCCGCGTCCAGGATGATGTTCTCACCATGTGGAAAGGCTTTCGGGATAAACTCCTTGAACTGCTTCACCTTGTGAGCAAGAACTGGCTTCAAGGACCGTGAGAAGTACGCAAATGTGTCGCCTTGCTTGTGAAGTTGCACACGTTCACCGTCGTACTTGATCTCAGCAAGCATACCGTTTGGACATTTTTTCATGGCGTACTCAACACTTTTGCAGGGTTCGGCCAGCATTGGGAGCACTGGCGTCATCAATGAGATACCGATGTCGAGCGAGCCCGGCTGACCGCAGACCTGCTGCTCCTGCACACGCTCAAGCACATCCTGTAGGTCACGGGTCGCTTGGAAGGCCTCGTAAGCGTCCGGGTGGATGCCGTCAAGGATGTGCTTCGCTCCGGCGTTTATCCGCAAGTCTGCCTTGATCAGGCGCACAAAGATCTTCAGGTCGTTTGCAGTGCATCTCTTTGCCACCCTCTTCAGCAAATTTTGCTGTTCTTCCTCCTTCGTAAGCTGTGACAGCTCGTCAAGGTATTTATCGACGTCCTGCAGCGAAAGAGTGGACTTTTTGGCCGGAAGAACGCTTTTTGACTGTTCAAAGAACACCCGAACTGTTTCGGCGACATCCCCTTGCTCTAAATCCTCAACCATCTCCTCAAGACTGACGTCGAATATCTGACTGAACAGCTTCGCCAGTTGTTTGCTCTGCAGATTGTACACCCTCTTCACGACGCCGGGAAGAAGCAAACGTGTCCACAGAAGAAGGTTTCCACGGAAGCCACTGCCGTCCGTGCCATTGGTGATGAAATTGTTGATAATCTCTGACTTGCTTTTGTAACTTGCTTCATCAGCAACGTTGGCGCAGATCTGGCGAAACTGTCGGAACGAGTTGTCTTTGTGACTGGGATCAGATGTATCGCATTTAGTAGTGCCTCGGTTACCAGCAGAGGTTGGAGTGCTAGCATCCTTTGTCTGGTTAGAACTAGGGCCAGCTTTCGAGGGCCCAGCACCAGAAACAAGCTGCTGCTGCTTGACATTCTTGGATGGTGATGGTTTTGACTGTTGACAAGCCTTGTTGACTTTCTTGGATGGCGATGGTTTCGACTGGCGACTGTCCACTACACTATCAATCAGCACCAACAGCTTCTTGCGATCCTCCGGCTGAATTTCATCCCAGCCATCCAGGTCTTCTGGCTCTTCAATGACCTTCGTGGTCGCTCGTGCTCGGGCAAAAGTTTCAAAAATGCAGTCTGAGTGATACCACTGCTTCATATCACCACCCGAGTCTGAGAATGGATTAGGGACAAGTTTTGCAATCCTTATGAGTCCCTTTCCGATCTTCTCCTTGCACTTTTTGCAGCCAGCAGTGCCTCGCTTTGCATACTCGATGCAAAACTTCTTGTCCGACATGGCAAGTGGGATTCCGAGGGCTTCAAAAGGAGAATGCAAATGGCACCAGTAGTAAGGGAAGAGAAAAACTCTTGCTGAAGGTAAAACAAAGGGCTTATGTGGGATGAGGGATTTTTTCAGTGGCAATGCTAATAGTCTACCAAAGAGGTATAGGTTTACCATGAACAGACCCCAGACAGCAGACAGTGCAACTGCAGGCGAGATAAAGCAGTGCAGCAGAAGAGGATCATTAATTGGAAGCTCACAGGCTGCCACTGAACCTACCCTCAGCATCTGGCTTCATCTTCTGCCTTTGGTGATATCTTCAGCCTTCAGCTCCTTATCACTTCAGTTCATTGGCTTTCCGAGAAATAACCTGAAACGGGAAACAGATTATGTATGATTTAGCATTTAGGCAATAAACATCACCTAATAATAACAATCATATGATGTAGGTACCTAATAATTACAGATACAGGTAGCATAGACCTATTAGAGCTAGAGGTACAGCTAGAAACAGAAGCTTATAAAACATAAGCTTTGAGCCTAATGTCATAAAATTTAAGTTAAGCCATGCCCTGTCTTGTTTGTGAAAACCTGATTAAGGAAAGAAACTCAAAAGAAACACAAAATAGCATATTTTGGTGGTACCTGGTGAAAGTGAACATTGAACATGGCATGATGTTAAGACCCACAAACCTTACTTCAAACTGTTAATAAAATATTTTGAATTTTGATGTAAGGGCATCTCTACAGTTGATTGCAGAATGCAGATAGAGACCTTGTATAAAGATAAGGTACACCTTTTTGCGTTGTTCCATGGCCAATCAGCAAAACCCATTCGTCCGATCTGCACATAGCTGGGCACCGGTGAGAGGCATTCCGGCACAACCTTCAGCATAAGGGCAAAACGGAATGCTAATCCCACTCCACAGTTCGTCAGTTGGTAAAACATTCGCTATTCGCGATAACTAATTGAATTCCGGCAAAACCTTTGACGATTTGGATAAATGCTTCGTCATTCGTTTATATCCCTTCGTCATTCACCAGAACATCCCCATGCTAATTTTGGCATTCCTCATAACATTTCGTCAAAACTAAAAACAGATCGCCCCTTTACAGAGAAGTATAAATATGACCGCGTTTATACACTAGGTATACAGTACAGTGCGAGCCGGCATGGTGGCGAAGCTCGTAGGTCATTTATCCACATAAAAATCGTTAGCTGTTCATGAGCGCTATAAGCACAATGTACATGGACGCAGCTGACATGTTATCGGCAGTGAACAGGCAACAGAGTGTTTGATAAGTCAACCCTGCCTCAAACACCAAGGTGTTCGGCGGTGGGCCGGCCGGACCCGGCTCGCCATCTGCCAGCCATTGCCCGCGAGTCCGACCGGTGCGGCCGCCCGAGGCATTGTCCCCAGAGCAGGGTTGTGCTCGACTAAAAAAAAAAAAATTGCCGACTCAACTCATCATTCAATTTCAGAAAGCCCTGACTCAACTCTGACTCAAACAAGGAGCTGATTTTTCCCTTGACTCGACTCATGACTCAAGCGGCTGAATGAAAATATGAGTCGACTCAAACTTGACTCAAATTTCAAGTGAGTTGACTCAAAATTGACTCAATCAAAAAAGTTGTTGAGCGGGGGGGGGGTGAAAAAATCCGGCAGCAGGGCCAGGGCTAAGTTGTTAAGGGGGGGGTATGAAAAGCTTATACATATATTGTTTCTATAAAGTTGAGTCAGCTGACTCACGTTCCTAAATGTTTGACTCCACTCAATGTCAAAAGTTATTTTACTGACTCAACTCTGACTCAACTCAACACCTTAATATTTTTGTCCGACTCAACTCTGACTCAACTCAACAGCTCAACATTTTATCCGACTCGACTCAAATCTGACTCAGTTGAGTCAGAGTTGAGTCAAATTTCTGACTCGACTCATGAGTCAAGCACAACCCTGCCCGAGAGAGCGCTCGGACAGTACAGTGACGCGATGATGACGGCCGGCTTCGTAGTTTGCACCGAAACGCTTAGGAGTCTGACACTCGACCGTCTACATGCATACTCGATATTGCGCCGGTAACTACATAGTCTCCTCGTAGCTATCGTATACTGCCTTTTTCGGAATCCAATGGTTGATTAGTTAATTGGTCAGAGACCAATTAATGCCGATTGCGCTGTAACATGTCGCAAGTCGCAACTTTCATCCATGAATGTGTGATAAACGTTAAACATTTAATATGGCTAGATAAGCACTACATCATTGACATTTTGATCACTGACGAAAGTTTTAAATCAACAGCCATTGTCTACGCACAGTACCGATGAATTTTGCCCATCGAGTAACCTTTTTGCGAAATGTCGAAGCATTATCACAATCTGACAAAGTGTTTGCCTATGATGAACATTGTGCTCATTGACAAAGAGTTATGCAGAATGGTTAAATGGAGTCCAGCCTGTCTTGCCGACCGTCAAACAGTGATGCACATCACCAATGGGTTATGCTGAATGACGCTTGTTCAAACTGATGCCGAAGTGGTTATGAGTTATGACGATTGGCCATCGAACAACGCAAACAGGTGTACTCGTATTAGTATGCAAAAGGTCCAATAAGTGTTAGGTTGGTAGGTTGCAGGCTGGTAAGCTGTAAATTGGTAGGTTGTAACTTGTAGGTTGGTAGGTTTAAGTTGGTAGGTTGTAGGCATGTAGGTTTCAAGTTGGTAGCTTGTAGCCTGTAGGTCAGTAGGTTAGAAGGTAAGGTTAGTTGAGGTTAGATTGTGTTTTTATCTTTGCTCAGACTTCTTCTACACTTTTACCGGCATTTCTATATACAAGACCTCAATTCACTACGGACAGGAAACAGAATGCTGTGGTACTACATAGGTTTCCAGGTAGTAGTAAAGCAGGCGTGACACTTTTTTGCAACCAAGGAGAGGTGCTGTGGGTTAGGTTGTAGGTTTTAGGTTTTAGGTGATAGGTTTTAGGTTGTTGGTTGTAGGTTGAAGGTACCTAAGGTTAGGTCAGGTTTTGTAAGGTTTGGTTTGATTTGATTAGAAAGCATCTCTGAGCATAGCGCTTCTCCTTGGTTGCAAAAAAACAGATGTGACGCCTGATTTACAACTACCGGTTTCTAATTTCTATTTTATTATGTAGGTACCAGCCTCCTCAACGGAAATTGAGGAGAGACCTCGAGGAGAACCTGGTCAAGAACCTAAAAACCAATCCAAAGATCTTTTGGAGATACTCGAATTCAAGGCTGAGGACTAAGGCAGGACTAAGGCGGGACTTGACAACCTCATAGATGCCTCTGGCTCCATTTTGTGCGACGACAGCGGTAAGGCGCAACTCCTAAACGCCTTCTTTAGTAGCGTCTTCACTGATGAGGATCTGTCCACCATTCCAGAGCCAACCAGCCAGTTTGCTGGTACGCCCATTAATACAGTCCCTATCACAGCCGAAGCAGTTCGACATAAACTTGACAACCTGAAGACTGACGCTGCCCCTGGCTCTGACGGTCTGCATCCGAAGCTGTTGCAGCATGCCTCCGCGGCCTTGGCTGGCCCGCTGTCCAACTTGTACCGCGAATCCCTGGAGCAAGGTATTCTCCCCCTCGATTTGGAAGTCAGCTACAGTGGTTCCAATCCACAAGAAGGGAAGCAGAAGTACCCCGGGGAACTACCGACCCATTAGCCTGACGTCCATCCCATGCAAGGTCATGGAATCTCTAGTGCGCGATGAGTTGGTCGAATTTCTGACATCCACCGGCCAGCTGTCTAGACACCAGCATGGGTTCCGTCCCCGAAGGTCCTGCAGTTCCCAGCTGCTGGAGGTGCTGGAGGACTGGACCAAGATGCTCGAACAAGGAGACGCGGTTGACGTGGCATACCTGGATTTTCGTAAGGTGTTCGACGCGGTACCACACATCCGACTTCTGAAAAAAGCTTAGGTGCTTTGCGATCTCAGGCAAACTATTGAAGTGGATTGAGGTCTTCTTATCTGTGCGCAAACAAGAAGTGGTCGTGAACGGATGCCACTCGAAACCAACTGCCGTCAGGAGTGGTGTACCGCAAGGCTCAGTTCTGGGGCCCCTCTTGTTCCTGCTGTTTGTTGACGACATACCCTCTGTGTTCGAGTGCTCAGTAAAGATGTTTGCTGATGATACGAAGCTCTACCGGACAATACAGCAAGAAAGTGTCTCCCGCTCAGAAGCCGCCGATGTTATGGGGCTGGCTGTCGCTCAATCCAGAGCTGGCAGAGACCACCCCGCCCAAGACACCCAGCCGGCGAGTGATGAGCAAAATCGTAACCCCGTCAATACTCTGCCGAGTGCCGCAGGCTGATGCGGAGGGAGAGGTGGCTGTCTCTCCTAACAGAGATGTCAGAAACCACTCTGCCCAACCATCGCCCATGCAGCTGGCGCGAGACCCAACGGTAACGACATCGCTCCAAGGCGACATTGATGCTCTAGTGGCATGGTCCGACCGCTGGCAGCTCCCATTCAACGAGGGGAAATGCCATTCAACCCATTCAACGAGCTTGGCTACGTCCCACGTAGCCAAGGGGACGTAGCCAAGCTGGCCGAGCGGGTGATCGCGACCCGTCTGTCACACCTCGCCGCCGAACGCAACATGATCCCACCTGAACAAGTCGGATTCCGCGAGAAGCGAGGTGTCGAGGATGTCGTCGCCCGGCTAACCCAGCAGGTCCAAGATGGATGGCAGCTCAAGCCGTGCCCGCCATCAAGACGCCAAGTCCCGGACGGAGAAGCAGCCCAGAAGTATGTCCTTGTGGCATAAGACTTCTCCCGCACATACGACCGGGTCGACCACCGTCTCCTGAGGGCGCGTCTCGCAAAGTTGGGAATCCTGGCTTGCTTCAACACCTGGGTGTGGGTATTCCTTCGAGACCGGAAGGCCTGTGTCGAAGTCAACGGCACGAAGAGTGGCGAGCACGTGTACAGGGCGGGCCTGCCGCAAGGCAGTGTCCTCTCTCCGACCCTGTTCCTGTTATGGTCGGCGCCGCTCGTAGCAACGCTCAAGACCCTGCCTGGTACAACCCCATTCATGTTCGCCGATGACACCTCGACGTTCTGCGCCGGCAACTCCATCGCCGTGGCCCGGGACCGGGCGCAGCTGGCGGCCAACACGCTCGTGAAGTGGGCGCACCGGAGTAAGATGGAGGTCGCGGGTCAGAAGACGCAGCTGGGGCATTCCACGATAGATCGTACCACTTTTTTCGAATTTGACACCCTCATCTCTCGGATTTTAACGATAATTGGTCTAAGGGGTAATCAGGGGCTCTGAATCCTCCTGTAACAATTTCAAGCTTATCAGATGAGTGGTTTTTGAGTTATAGTGTATAACATGTTTTGG